ACGCAATCATGCTGCACGTATCAGAAGTTCGGCGCTCCGGCGCGGTTAGCGCTCTCACTACATGCGTGCCGCGCATGAGCCCTACTGGACCGCACTCTGGTCCACCTCTTCCAACCGAGCCAGGGACGGCTAAACGAACAATGCCTGAGCACGGCACAGAGCGATCACACTAGTCAAACGAACCGGGCTTTGGGGGTCAAACGCGCTCGGGCACGGTTAAGGTCGCCCGCTCCCGCACTCTCCCATTAAGTGTTGTTCCGCGCCGCACTCTGTTGTGTTGGTTCCCGCGATAGTGCAGGTCTCTAATCGGAAGGTGCCTGTTATAATGTTATGATCAAGGCTCTGGACTCTGAGCATAACTTGTTTTTCTATAACAAACTATAAAATATTTTCTATAAAAACGTTAATGCCCTGGCAGTGGCAAATAGCTTTGGTTTTATATTTAATTTGATTGCATTAATGCTATAAGTTGAGATTTACAATAAATATTTTATCTGCTATGTAAAAGGAATACTGCTGTAAAAAAAGCACCTTATTTGTTTAAAGTGTTTGCAAACCAAATGTTATTGATCTTTTGTTCATATAGCAGTACTTTTAAATGAAAAAAGTGCACAATACACTACTTTTGAATTCATTATTGATTTCAAATTTGAAAATTCATTATTGAATTTTGCGCATAACAATGCGATTAATCACAGAAAATCATGCGATTAATCGCGATTAAAAAAATAATTGTTGTCCAGTACATATATATAAATTTGGGGAATCGGTGTTGTGGGATAAAAATAACTTAAAAATGACTAGAAGAAAGATTTTAGGACTAGAAATGCACTTGATGATGCTGTATACTGATGACTTTATTGTGTTTCCAATACGATATTCAAGATTTCTCTCTCTGTCAACACAGTCCTGCATCAAGCTGCAATCAGCCCTCTTCAGCTGAGTCTGATTGTGGCCAGCTGCCATGAGTAGGCCTTAAACAAACACCTTGTGTGCTGTCATTGTTGGCCTGTGCGTTTCAGCACGAGGCTGGGCCACCACAGCCAAGTGTTTCAATTCCTGAAGAGCTTCCAGAAGAAATTAGTATGTAATGACCGCACTCTGCAAGAAGAAAGGCCCATTATGGCTCTCGCTGACTGTACTTGGCTTTCATTTGCAAGCTAAATGGATGCGTGCGAAGGTGAGAGTTCACTAGCCGTTCAAGTATTTGGCTTTAACAGGCTCCAGCACTCTTGCTTTAATTCAAGCAGAAGGACAAGTATGAATAATCGCTCTAGATAAGACTCATCAAAATACGGTTCCAGCATCTGCCTGCCTTTTTTTAAACCCCTGAGCCTCTCGTGAAGCCCGGTGACAAAATGCACTTCAGGTTATGTCTTTGAATTTGTGATTTGCTCGCCGTTTGCTGTTGTTAACAGATCCCAGTATGATTTTGATGGATCTTTCTGATGTTTAGCTGCAGTTGTGCAGTGATTTTTGTAGGAAAAAGAAAATGCAATAGCCCCTATAAATTTAATTCAGCTAAAATAGTAAGCGATTGTCACCTGATGCTAATACATGAACGGCGTTGCCCCCTCTTCCATCAGACAGCCCACACTCCCTGTAGCATATATAGCCCTCCTAAATGATGTGTGTGTGGCCAATTTGTAGAGAATGACTGTGTAAGAGATGTTTCTTTGTTAGCCCATAATAACCAAGGATGGAATGTTTTATTTAGATACATGTGGGTGCACAGCCAAAAGCGCTAATTCGTGGCCCCGAGGATGTTCATTTCATGTAATGTATGCACAGGCTAATTTATAACACTGTGACTAATTTCCATTTCTTGTGCTTGGAGTTGCCTTGCTAATTACGGGATTTTTTTTCTTTGGTCATTTTTTTCTTGACTCTTCTTTCATAATTACAGCTCAGCATTCAGGGAGGGAACTGTTGCAAATGAGATGGGCCTCGCCGTGTTGGGTGACTGATGCACTCCTGCATCCAGGTGAGCCCAAATCCCTGACAAGAGCCGCTGTTTCACCCCCATCTGCTCCAGTCACCGCTTGCCACACATCTTTGATGTGAGCCGTCCTTGCTTGTGTGACTATACCTTATCCTGTTTCCCCATGATCAGATAGAACCGCCTGTAATTAGCTGGGTGACTTTAATTAGGAAAAAGTTAGCTGTTACATGAAAGCTGCCACATCTGTGATCCTACTGCTGCCTTGGCGTCAGGCTCCTAGGGGGTCCCCATCAAAGGGCTCCCTCCCGCTGCGCAGCCCCACTCTAGCATGCTCTCCTGTGCCAAATCAGGCCTGCCGATGCCAAGTGACAGAGCAGAGCGAAGATTCAGACATGAGTTAACTGTGCAAGACAAAAACAGAAAAAAAGAGGAGGACTGAACACATCACTTCGGTCTTTCTTGTCTCTCGTTAGGCGAGGAACACGAGGCAGACACAAAAGGATCTGAGGCCAAACAATGTCACTTAACAAGACATCACTGGCTCATCATTAGCAATTTGCCAGGGTATAATTTGTTCCTCCCCTCACATAATAGGTGTCTTGGGATGTTGTGAATGGCCTTTCGCTTGTTTCGCTGTTTATTTTTCTTGGCCCGAGTCTCAGAAGCAAACTTGCCACCTATGGCGATGAGCAGGACGGTGCTGTTGTGATTTAGTTTCACAGTTTCAGTAAGTAAGACCTCCTTTAATTAACTCCCAAGCTCATCCTCTTTCATTTAGGTATCTATTTATCTATTTTACTTGAGACAACAAGCGACTATCAGACACATATCTTGAAATGGTAGCCGAAGGAAGATTAAAAGCACCAAAAACGTAGGGATTTCTGCTGTTACGATTTCAGATGGCTTTATTGTGGATGGCATTTTTGTTTTTGAACCCTATTACCCCTTGGGAGGAATTACAGAGGCTGTGAGATGCTGCGTGCCCTTTTTCTTTTGCTTTCCATGCCTGCTTCGTTCTCTCTGCCGTCGTCTCTCTCTCCCAGTCATTTTCAAGAACAGCTGCATTCTGCTATAGTCGTGCTAAATATGCTTAAATGGCTTGACGTGTATCACTGCCATTAATCAGAAAGAGAAAGGCTTTTAATTTCATTGTGCTTGCATCCTGTTTTCCCCACAGATGGTACAGACAGGGCTCTAGAAACCAGCTCGCGCTCTGTCTGCCTGTCCCATCGCTTCCTATTCTGTGGGCCTTTTGTCATCAACAGACATTGAGCTGCCATTTATATTCAACAGACACGTGCACTGAGGAAAAAGGCATGCCAGCTCATAACAACAATAAAAGACACAAATATATCACACATCCTGACAAGTGCGCTTCAGATGTCAATCACTCTGAGAGGAGCTCAGGGCTTTACTCCTTACTTGCCATTAGCAGCGCTTAGCATGCTAATTAAGCCTTCCGTACAATCTAAGATGCCACCCCATATATTTTTGTTTTCATCGGGGAACATTTACGCCTTCAGTTTTAGCCACCCAAGGCCGCAAAATCCAAGAGTTGTCTTCAGAAATGCAACTGTAGTGGTACTACAATTTCAGACCATTTTAAATTTCCTACCCGTCTACCTCTCATTCGAGCTCAAACATGCATTAATTTATCAAGCTTAACAACGGTAACATAAATTGCTAAGTCCTTCATTGTTGAGTGTGTTAAATGTACAGACATGCACCGTGTAGCACTGACATAGCGCCTCTCTGCTGGCACAGTGAATGAGAAGATTGTGAAATCGATTTCCACATTGTATTTCACACCCTTTCATCAGGCATGGTTCCGCTGCCTGGAAAGCTCACAATTTCAAAAGCACTTAACATACTCTAGCCCTTTTATTCAAGCGGCACACTACTTCTGTTGAGACATCAGTGCGAATAAAACCAAATATCAGCCTGGCTGTGACTTGAACTGAAGAACAACCAAATTAGTCCTAGTTAATGTATCTTCATTACTGTTTGTCTTCCCCCCCCAGCACCAAAAGAATCTGACGTGCTAATGATTGCACAGCATTAAAGCGACAGCTTCTTCTGTCACTTTGATTGTGAGACGCAAAAGCAGATTATTGCAGAGATTTCTTACATTCCCTGCTGTGAACACCAGAATGACACTTAAAATATAATGATGTTTATAACCACGCTCATTAGCACGGCTGTGTCTCTTCCGCAGAAATAATACTCCTCTTCATGGGAGCCAAACATATTTAAAATTGCAGCAGAAGAGAAGGCGGCAGTTATTTTGAGAAAAAAAAATATTGAACCCAGAGAACGGGCAGTCTGTTTTGTCCTGATTAGAATGCATACTTTAGGAACTGCCATGTACAGTTAGAGAGGAGAATGCTGCGTTTCAGGTTCACTTTGTGGTAAGTGTGAATGTATCATTATCAGATTTCCATTTTTAATGCAGCTTTAAATGATATTGACACCTTTAAAACAATTTTTTTTTTCTATTATAGCTACACCTCTACTTAAATACTGAGCAGAAATTGTTATCATGGCTCATCAGTATAAGGAGTGACAGGACAGAAAGTACATGCAAAATAAAAATAATAATTTTATATTTAAAACTGAAGGCAAAGAACTGTTGTCTTATGATAAGAAACCAAAACACTTCTTGTAATAGTCTCTGCACGACCTGGAAACATCCCTGAGAGAACAAACTCATCTTGTTCTCTCAAATGTTCTGAACTGAACCGAAACTGAATTTGTACTGTATAAGGGGCCAGTGTTATAGTGTTGACAGTGATTAATAGCAGAGGAGACATTGGTGTAGTAATGTTTGTGCAGAAACAATCTACTTCCCTTCAAAGTGCATGATCACAACTGTTGTTTGTTGCACTTTGTGGCAGGGAGATAGTAGACAGTAGACATAAAGCAGTACCTAAATGATTCTTTGTCTACACAGACATAAGAAAGTACTGATTGTGCTGTCAGTGTCACCTTTATTTATATAGCATTTTATACGATACAGATTGTATCAAAGCAGCTTTACAAGTGTCAAACAGGAAAGTAGTTTATCAATAATGCAAGAGGACAATAACAAACAGTCCATTTTTCAGGTAAGGTCAGTTCATTGATGATTCAGTGATGTCATCATCCAGTTCAGCTCTTTTCCAATAGTGTCTGTGCAATCAAGGACTATAACGTGAAGGGCTATAATGAGAGGAGTTTGCTGAAGTACTGAGGAGCTAAACCATTCAGGGCTTTATAAGTAATTAGCAAGATTTTAAAATGTAGACAATGTTCAATAGGGAGCCAGTGCAGAGTTGACAGTGCTAATATGGTTACTTCCTGGTTCTAGTAAGAACTCTTGTTGCTGCATTTTGGACCAGCTGGAGTTTGTTTATTAAGCGCAGAGCAACCACCCAATAAAGCATTACAATAATCTAACCTTGGGGTCATGAATGCATGAATTAACGTTTCTGCATTTGACATTGAGAGCATAGGTCATAATTTAGGTATATTTTTAAGATGGGAAAAATGCAGTTTTACAAATGCTAGAAACGTGATTTTCAATGGAAGGTTTGCCAAAAAATAGCACACCTAGGTTCCTAACTGATGACGAGGAATTAACAGAGCAGCCATCAAATGTTAGACCGTGTTCTAGGTTATTGCATGCGGAGGTTTTTGGTCAAATAATTAACATCTGGTTTTTTTTTTTTTTTCCAGAATTTAGCAGTAGGAAATTACCAGTCATCCAGTTTTTATATCAGCTATGCATTCCGTTAGTTTTGCAAATTGGTGTATATCATCGGGCCATGAAGAAATACAGAGATGAGTATCACCAACATAGCAGTGAAAGCTAACACTGTGTCTGCTGATGATATCTCCCAAGGATAACATGTAAAGCAGTGGTCCTAGTACTAAGCCTTGTGGTACTCCATACTGTACTTATGATGGACATGATACCTCTTCATTCACTGCTACGAATTGATGACGTTCAGATAAGTAAGATCTGAACCATGCTAATGCAATTCCACAAATGCCAACAGAATTGTGTAGTCTACTCAAAAGAATGTTGTGCTTAATAGTGTAAAACGTAGTGCTAAGATCCAGTAGCACTAATGGCGCTTTTCCACTGCATGTAGGGGATATGACGATTTTTGATCATGGACAATAAAAATGTCTCCACGATCTGCTTTTGAAGAAATATCGTAGTATCATGCTACAGCGCACATTCTATCTGTTGCAGATCTGACACCTCAGTCTCAATGCTTTACAACGCCACATACATTCACATCAGTGTTAACTCGGTGTTCGAGTTACTCTCACAGGACACTGCACTTATTCGCAATCACAAAAGTACATTATTTGCATGTGCTTTTAAATGTTTCATTCGTGTGCTGGTCTGACGTGCGCTTTTTCTGAGTGCCGCGTACACCCGAAGCGTGCGCACTAAAATGCCTGTCAAACAGCACCTGATTACTGAACTAAGTTATCTTTTGCGCTAATACGGTCAAAACACAAAAGGTTTACATATAGACTCAATTGGTTATGTCTAAAATTAAAGTAAACAGTTGAGAGAATACGGATACGTGCCTTTATATTAGATATAAATAGATATAAATATACAGGTCTTAAAGGGACAGTACTAAACATGCAGCTGACTGTCATTAAAGGGATAGTTCACCCTAAAATTTCTGTCATTATTTACTCACTGTCACGTTGTCCCAAACCTGTATTAATTTTGTTCTTGTGCTGAACACAAAAGAAGATATTTTGAAGAATGTGGGTAACCAAACAGTTGCTGGTCCACACTGAATTTGATAGTAGGAAAAAAAAATACTATGGAAGTCACCGTGAACAAGCAACTGTTTGGTTTTCCACTTTCTTTAAAAAAGCATTTATGTTCAGCAGAAGAAAGAAACTAATTCAGGTTTAAAACAACTTTTGAGTGAGTAAATGGTGGTATAAAACACTGACAGAATTGACAAACAGATGACAGAATTTTTATTTTTGGGTCAAATATTGCTTTAATGTTAATAAAACAACAAAAACACAAAGAGAAAAATCACTCACTACTCTTGACTGAAAAACCTTAATACAGTTGCTTTAGGAATCAGTCTATATAGTGTTTTATTTATTAAGCATTTCTCAAGCATGGCTCAAGTAAAAAAATATAGATGTGAATCATTACCCTAAATTTTTTTAATTGGATGAATGAAAAAAAATGTTTCAGCGCGCGAGTACTGAAAGTAGTTGTCTTTCGCGCCCAAATGCTTTTTAATCACTTGAATTTTTAAATTAACAAGTCTTAAAAGCACATGCAAATGATAAAATGTCGTGACGACGCTGCAGTGGCCCGAACGGGCAAGTGACAAATACGTCTACTGTCCCGAACGTCTTTCACGCAGGCCCCGGGCCATCGGCCAGTCCTTGTTGTCGAGCCCTGCAAAGCAGTCTTTTGTCGTAGAAGTGATGATTCTACCATATTTGTAACAAGGAGTTGAATTTGCAGCTTTAGCTATATGGAGTATACACAAGACTAGATAATGATCCGAGATATCATCACTCTGCTGCAGAATTTCAATGCCATTAACATCAATCAGCAGAGGGAAGCAGTCATTTATCTAATGACAGTTTTACCGTGTGAATGATCAATGCCTAATGAAGAGAGGGGAAATGATGGCACTGCGAAGTACTGCTCCTTTATGAGAAACAAAACCTTTTTCAGTGAGACTTGCTCTTGCTTTGTCCATAATAATGTCAGATAGAAAAATCAAATAATCAGTGTTAATTTTGACAGCAAATTTTGATTTAGTTTTAGTCATAGTCTTTTGACTAAAATGCCATTTAGTTTTAGTCATATTTTAGTCATATCAATTGTTTTTAGTTTTAGTCTAGTTTTAGTCGACTAAATATCATAAGATTTTAGTCGACTAAATCTACAATAGACAATAGCAACTAAATTAGGCTGCTATCCCTTTAAAACAGAATGCACAGCTGCAATGAATGCAATGTACTGATGCATGTTCTTCCTACTGTTTACGTTCACTTAAGATGTAATCAACTGTTTACGTGAATACTCATCAAAACGGACAATTCGACAATACGACATAATTTTGTGTGTAATTCTCCGTTCATGCGACGCGAAAGAGTAATCGTGTGCTGTGAGACACACTTTGTGTGTATAGTGTCTGCGCTCAGAAAACCGGACCGAATTGAGTTCTCTCTTGCGTCGTTAGATTTATCCATATGTCTGCTCTTTTTTTACTCCCACATATAGACATTTTTGAATTTTTACGTCATAGTTTTTGTCATTCAAAAAGAGTTTTAGTTCGTTATCGTCTTGTTGTCGTCGGTGAAAAAAAATGTCATTGACGACAATTATGACAAATTATTCATCAACGAAATTAACACTGCAAATAATAAACAATAGCTTTTGTCCATGCCATACCTCTATAGTCACATTGTACTTCAATTAATACTGTGTGATAGGAATTGTTTTGGTTTTCTAATGGTTACAAGTAGTGGATTGGTTAAACTTTGGACATTTGTCATGTTTCAAATTGGTACTCTTTCAGTGTTTCCCGCAGTCTAACGCGCTACTTGTGGTGGCACTTCCCCTGGGGGAAATATATATGTATATAATGTAAATATAAAACAGCAGACGGGCTTAT